CTAGGAAAACAAGCTGCAAGGGAGCGCTGCTCTAAAGACTCTCCACTTCCAATGTCCCCTCCATACTGCTTCGGGCCATCGCCTCCAGCCCAAGCAACCACGCCTATCCTTCCCAAGCTTTCTTCTCCAGGTCGACCCTGGTAGCCAGACCGGACGACGGCTCATTTGAGACCTCCCCCATTGACTTCGACATTGCGCAACCTGTGCGCGTTTGTCTCACACTCGCAATCCCGCTGAGAGCCAGAAGCCTTGCCCGTGGGTTCGGAAACTTCAACAGCAAGCCGCAACTTACCTACCGTCGGTTCCATGTCTACAACTCTCGACTCCTCGAGTACCATCACCGCTGCATGCAATCTCGAACCCTTTGTCAACATAGTCTCCTCCTCCGGGAACGTGCATCAGTTCTCGGCGGACTCGGCCACGGCCTATTGCTTTCCGCTCATAACCACGTCAACCAGACCAAACGATCCCACGGACGGCGGGCGCTGAGCCTGGCTCGTGCTTCCATGTCATTTGGATCTCCCTTCAATCCCTTGCCGCCTGATGGATACTCGGGAAATTCTCTCCTCGAGGTCGAGTCGTCCACTGCTCTGTGCTCACTGGCTACGATTTGGCACTGCTGCTCATCGCTCGAGCCATTCGCTGCCTCCCACCGCTGCTCCTCCTCCATCTTCTCCCTGGTCGTCTAGACTCGCTATTTCGGCCGTTCGCTCGTCACCTCTCATCTTCCTCGACTCTCGACTTCCGCATCCATTCTCCATCCTCTAGGGCCCCCAGCTGATTCAGCCTGCATTGGCCCGACATTGAAGTGTTTGTGTCTGGGGTTTGGCAGAAGATCGACCAACTCAATCATACGCAAAAGAGGGGACATTGGTGGTAGAGGCTCGATTTGCTGTGAAAACCATCAGTCTTGTCGACCCTGCGCCGCTGGCCCCCAGGGTTCAATCTGCCTCGAGCCACCTGAGCCCTACTGCTAATTACACGACTCCCAGCCTTTTCCTCTTGCGCCAAAGATTTCCTCTGGTCAATCTTACAACTGACAGCTATCCCCGCCACTAAGCCGTTTGGTTCTCGTCACAAGGCCGCCCACAGCCTCGAGGCTGGCGAGGCCTTTCCAACGCCGTCGCAAATGCCTCATCCCCCAGCCGTTTGTTCGGCCGGCGTCTTCCTGACCCGAACATGGCGCTGCACAAACGCCAGCTCAGCCGGCTCGTTGCAGGCCGATGCACTAAAAGCCAATGCCATCTGTCGCCTTGAATAACGGCCGAGGGCTTGCAAGGCCTTCATATGGGTATTTGCAGATGTCATGCCCATCGACTACATCATTTTGCTGCGTATAAATTTGAGAATGACGGAGGCCTTGGGCGCCGTCCATCCGGGGTCCTTGCCCTCCGCTGGCGGTTCCACGACCACATCACACTGTCCGATTCTTTTCGCGCGCTGCTGACTTCGACAGAGGAGCAGGGGCGTCCATTTGTGGACATGATGGACAGGGGCCCATCGCCAAAAAGTTTCAGCCTCTTATCACCGACGACCGACCATCCTGGGGGTGGCTTGCTGAGGAATGCATCAATTAAACCGAGGTATGCACGACGACCGCTGTGGCACGATAGTGAGCAAGGCCAGGTCTATCGACAATTTGAGTAGCAGATGTCAAAATTCGCGAGCAAGAATGTGATTGCACGCGGCTTTCCCATCTGCGGTGCAGGGAATTCCTTGAAAATGTGAGCATTTCTGCCGTGTCTTTTTGCGCTTGAACGTCGCGAGGCTCGCTCGTATTCCGCCAACGCGATGGGACCAATTTCAGGGCTCAACCCAGAACGACATCAAGCAAATGAGGTTCAAGGGTCCTCAAAATAGCCTCCCAGTTCAAACGGCAACGCCGCAAGCGCCACCCACGCGATTCGAGGGTTTTAAGCTTCAATCTCATAGCTTTGTTCTAATGCGTTCGGAGTAACTCCGTCGCCATGAGGGCCATACATATCGCACCACTTCCGGGCCGCTGACAAGACTCGAAATCCCGTGGAGTCTACAGGTGCAGCAGCAGAGAGCTTCTCCTGGACGTTGATAAACTGTTCTAGGCCAGCCTGCCCCATTGCTGTGATGGATGCCGTGGTGCGCAGAAACCACCATACTGACTCGTTCTCCCACCGCAAAGACTCGGCCAGGTCAAGTGTCTCTTTGAACACCGATGAGAAGACTTGGTTATCAAAGTTGCTCCGGCTCTCACCCAAGAGATGAGCAAGGAATGACCATCCGGAGATGTCTGTGTGGTGTCTAAAGGACCACCGTTTGACACTCTGAATGAGCGGGAAGATATCCTCACTGCTGAAAACAGTGTCGAAAGTTTTCGTCAACCATCGTGCATGGCCCCAGGCGTAGTAATTTCGTGGATGTCTTTCACCCGCTATCATGATGACTGCTTCGACATCCTGTTGGATGGCAACGGGCAGTCCCAGTTCACGGAAACGCTCAAGCAGCCATCGCCGATGACTCCATAGCGTCGGTGACTTTGTGTGCCGGTGAAGTCGGCTGGTGAGCAAGCTGTCAACAAACCATTTCTCCTGCATCAATGCCGATCTCACATCGCCTCCTGCAGGCATCTCGCTCCGGAGAAGACGTTTCCTGGTGTTGGCAGCCGTCAGGTGCTCGGGATCCATGAGGAGCAAAACGCCTGTCGCTAGCCACAGCTTTCCCGCTCCCACAGTGCCATCGGCCAGATGATTCTGCAGGATCTGCCGCGCGACGACGAAGGCTTGGACCAGTCGAAGTTTGGGAACGGCGACGGCGTTATCGTCTCTTAGGAAGTTCTCGTCCGGGCTGATGGGGTGGCTGCGGCCTAAGATCTCGATTTCAAGAAGACGCTCGTCGTGCGGATTTTCAAAGAGGCCGGCGATTTCGTTGAAGATCTTTTGGTGATCGCCTTGTTTCAAGGCCGCGATGACATGTTTGTCCAGTGCTCTCGACATTGCATTGGCGTTGGCGGTGACTGGCCTGACTCACGGCATGTCTGGGATGCCACGCAACAAAGCACATGCAACAGCAACTCCCGAATATCCGCAGTACCACAGATGCAAGTGAAAGCCTCGAAACTATGCAGTTGCCGATCTAGGCGTTGATGCCGTTGTTGTCTTGTTGCGAGGAATGCACCAGGTGAGGTAGAAAGGTGGTGGAGATGATTGGCTACCTCGATGGTTGGGCCAACCCGCTATGCTTTTAGCGGGGCAATGACATAGGACCACGTTTTCCTCCCGCTAAAGGGCTTCTCCGGAAAGTCGTCACACATCGTTTGCAATAATCGACCAGCCTCGCCCAACGCAAACTCCCCCAGCGCAGCATGTGCCGATAAGCAACCGACCGCTTGCGAGTTTCTGAATCTTTCAAGCGCCGCCGACCTTTCGACAAAATGCCTTCCCTGCTCGTCATCATCTTCGTGCTGGAGGTGGTCTCCCACCTGGTCAACTCCATCGGAGCTGCCACCATCAATAGCTTGGTGAGTATCTTTCCCCTCTCCCCCTTCGTGTCTCATTTTATGCTTTGACGGCCGCTCCGGTCGCGGAAAGATCGACCATGACTGACCGCTGGCCAGCTCTGGACGTTGCTCAACTACCTCCCCGTTTCGACGTCCAAGACGGCGAAGCAGCACCGACAGCTACAGGCAGAGTTCCTGAAAGTGCGAAAGGAGCTGAATGCGACTAGCAGCCAGGACGAGTTCGCCAAGTGGGCGAAGCTGCGCCGGACGCACGACAAGTTGTTGGACCAGCTCGAGAAGAGCAGTACGTGGCCCTCCCCCGCTTCCTCCGGATACAGATGCGTCTCCGACTTCGCAAAGTAGTCACTGACGCACGTATTTTGTCACAGAGCAATCCCAAGAAGGAGCGAAATCCAAGTTCGACACTTACCTCACCGGCTTCCGACTCCTCGTCACGAAGGTTCCCCAATATGGCTTGCCCTTCTGGTACTCCAAGGAGCCCATGTTCTGGCTGCCTTACGGATGGTTTCCGTACTACGCGGAGTGGCTCATGTCCTTCCCCAAGGCACCGATGGGCAGCGTGAGCATCGTGTCGTGGCAGTTGGCGTGCAACGGCATGGTCACCCTCCTCACGGAGCTGATCACGTCGATTTTGGGGCTCGTTCTGAAGGCCAAGCAGGGCCAGCAGGAGCAGGGCAAGGCAAAGGTCAAGGTGCCCGCCGGAGCCGCAAACGCGAAGTCAGAGTCTGCTGCCTCCGCTCAGCAGGAGAAGAAGGAGCTTTGATACCAAGCAAGGGTCACATACCCCGCCCGAAGTCGAGTAGAGAGTTTAGAAAATAATGAATGGCTCCGCAAAAGAAAATTTGCTTCTACAGTGATGGGATGTATCTCGTTTGATTTGACGCAAAGATCTTAATTGCAAGGCTAAGACTTTGTAACACGACGTAGACTACTCTTGGCAGAGTATATGGGGTTTGCTCTAGGCGTCATATTGACTTTGTTCGACCATTGAGGTGCCGACAAAGCTTCGAAAGCGCCATTACTGTGGTAATTGGGATTAGTTCACGAAGCGTGTGGGAAGAGAACAAGAGCTCTGGCAATCGCGATAAGCGCTGCGCTGGCAAGTCCATCAGATACAACGTAGGACAGCGCGACATTACAGCGCAGAGAATTTGATTCTCTTCGACTTCCAGAATTAAGAAGATCGATTGCGCCGAGGGGGCAGCAAGCAGCTGACAGTTCGCGATCACTGTTCGTGTTGTTGTAGAGGAAAGAGTTCTGAGAGAATTTGCAGTGGATAATCGCCAAAAATATTTCTTTGGACAGTGCACCGCCACGACCCACTTTCAGTTCGCGCCACATCTCGTCTATCTGAGTTCGGAACAACCTCGCTCCGGTGTCCAGCTCAGCCCCATTCCCCTTGGAGGCAACGACATCAACTTGGCAGCTCCGTGTTTGGCCCTTGCTATCGTCAAGCTTGAATTCAACCACCCACTTACGGCTTCGGAGCTCCCGCCACACCATCAAGATGGCTCCGGCACAGGATACCATGTTTCGCTCGGCGAACATGAGTATGGTGCAGCTGTACATTTCCAACGAAATAGGTCGCGAGGTTGTCACTGCACTTGGAGAGCTTGGTCTCCTCCAGTTCCGCGATGTATGTCGTCAGCCCCCGAGCCTCATCCGCGTCATCGAAGCTAACCATCAAACCCCATCGCAGCTCAATGGCGAAGTCAGCGCTTTCCAGCGCACTTTCACTCAAGAGATTCGAAGACTCGACAATGTCGAACGCCAGCTGCGTACGTCATCAATCCCCAGGCCGCGCCCGACCCGCGACGAACGCGATCGAGACCCCAGCTAACATATATCATCAGGATACTTCTATGCTCAGATGGAGAAGGCCGGAATTCCTCTCCGCAAGTTCGATGTCGATGCGGAGCGCCTCGCCAATCCCTCTACTTCGGAGATCGACGAGCTGGCTGAGCGCAGCCAGGGCTTGGAGCAGCGTGTGTACCAGCTCAATGACAGTTACGAGACCTTGAAGAAGCGCGAGGTCGAGCTCACCGAGTGGCGCTGGGTTCTCCGTGAGGCTGGCGGCTTCTTCGACAGAGCTCACGGCAACGTCGAAGAGATCCGCGCGTCCACCGATAACGATGACGCTCCCCTGCTGCAGGACGTTGAGCAGCACAACTCGGCCCCCGAGGTCGAGCGCTCCTTCTCCGGCATGAACATTGGCTTCGTTGCCGGTGTCATCAACCGCGACCGCGTCGCCTCCTTCGAGCGTATCCTTTGGAGAACCCTCCGTGGAAACTTGTACATGAACCAGTCCGAGATCCCTGAGCCGCTCGTCGACCCGACGAACAACGAGGAGATCAACAAGAACGTCTTTGTGATCTTCGCCCACGGCAAGGAGATTCTCGCCAAGATTCGCAAGATTTCTGAGTCCATGGGTGCCGAAGTCTACAACGTCGACGAGAACAGCGATCTCCGTCGCGACCAGATCCACGAGGTTAACGCTCGCCTTAACGATGTTCAGAACGTTCTTCGCAACACGCAGCAGACCCTTAACGCGGAGCTGCAGCAGATCAGCCAGGCTCTGTCCGCCTGGATGGTCTTGGTCACCAAGGAGAAGGCTGTCTACAACACGCTCAATCTATTCTCGTACGACCGTGCCCGTCGTACGCTGATTGCTGAGGGTTGGTGTCCGACCAACGACCTCCCACGAATTCGCTCGACCCTGCAAGACGTCACGAACCGTGCAGGCCTGTCGGTGCCTTCCATTATCAACGAGATTCGCACCAACAAGACCCCTCCTACGTACATCAAGACCAACAAGTTTACCGAGGCTTTCCAGACCATCGTTAACGCTTACGGTACTCCCACCTACCAGGAGGTCAACCCGGCTCTTCCGGTTATTGTAACCTTCCCCTTCCTCTTCGCCGTCATGTTCGGTGATTTCGGTCACGCTGTCATCATGACGCTTGCTGCGCTCGCCATGATCTACTGGGAGAAACCTCTCAAGAAGGTCAGCTTCGAGTTGTTTGCCATGATGTATTACGGCAGATACATCGCCCTGGTCATGGGTCTGTTCTCGCTCTTCACTGGTCTCATCTACAACGATATCTTCTCCAAGTCTATGACGCTGTTCGACAGCGCCTGGGAGTGGGATGCCGGTGACAACTACACTGAGACCAGAACGCTTGTTGGCAAGCTCAACGACAAGGGCTACCGCTACCCCTTCGGTCTTGACTGGAGATGGCACGGTACCGACAACGACCTCCTCTTCAGCAACAGTTACAAGATGAAAATGTCCATCGTCCTCGGCTGGGCGCATATGACCTACTCTCTTATCTTTTCCTACGTTAACGCTAAGCACTTCAACAAGAAGGTCGATATCTGGGGCAACTTCGTTCCCGGCATGATTTTCTTCCAGTCCATTTTCGGCTACCTGGTGCTTTGCATCATCTACAAGTGGACCGTCAACTGGTACGACCCCTCGGTCACGGAGGGTCCTCCTGGACTGTTGAACATGTTGATCTACATGTTCCTGTCGCCCGGTTCAACCCCCGAGAAGCTTTACAACGGCCAGGGCTTCGTCCAGGTCGTTCTTTTGCTGCTTGCTTTCATTCAAGTTCCTATTCTCCTGTTCCTGAAGCCTTTCTGGCTCCGCTGGGAGCACAACCACGCTCGCGCCAAGGGCTATAGGGGTATTGGCGAGAGCTCTCGTGTTAGTGCTCTGGATGGCGACGACGACGACGAGGCGCAGCCGCTTAACGGCCGCCCGAGCTTCGAGTCAGATGGCGAAGGCGTTGGTATGATCACGCAGGACCTGCACGGCGATGGCGAGCACGAGGAGTTTGAGTTCAGTGAAGTCATGATCCACCAGGTCATTCACACGATTGGTAAGTCAACCGCATCCGCTGCTTGGGAAGACAATGCTAACGGCACACGTAGAATTCTGCTTGAACTGCGTTTCCCACACGGCTTCCTACCTCCGTCTGTGGGCTCTTTCGCTTGCTCACCAGCAGCTCAGTGTTGTGCTCTGGAACATGACTCTCAACAACGTCCTTCCCATGACTGGTGTCCTTGGTGTTATTGCCATCGTCATTGGTTTCTATCTGTGGTTCTTCCTTAGTGAGTACTCACCATCCGTTTCACCTTTACCTCCTGCTAACCGCCCCAGCTATCGCCATTCTCGTCCTGATGGAGGGTACCAGTGCCATGTTGCACTCTCTCAGATTGGCCTGGGTCGAGTCCTTCTCCAAGTTTGCTGAGTTCGCTGGTTGGCCTTTCGCACCGTTCTCATTCAACACCTTGTTAGAGGAGACGGAAGAGCTGAAGGAGTACCTGGGTTAATTAGAGCTCCGGGTGCCTGCTTGTAGTGTATTGCATCGCATTTGATTTTGCTCATTGTAAACTTATCCATTGTATCATAAGGAGCCCAATGCATTAGACATTCGGCACATAAGACTGCTGCCGCATCGTATTTGACTGATGAATTCGTGAAGCGTAGTATCGATGCGAATGATGTTGTGCAAGTTCAATTCGCTGAAGGTAATAGCCCCATCTTCTGTGATTTCAGTCTCATTGTATCATGGCTTAGTGCTGGACTATTCAGCATCTCTAGTGTTTAGGTGCCATCGTAGACTTGTGACTATATTATACAAAGCGCAAACGCCCTTTTGTTTTCAAACGCAAAGACAGCCAAATCAATTCCCGTGCAAACCACATTCTTATCCCCCTATCCCCAAAGAGGAGCCGTCACCTCAGCAGCGTGCTCGCAAACCCGTCTCACGCGATCGGCGAACGCCTTGTGACTGCACTCAACCTCCAGATCCTCGAGCCACACCACGGCCTCCATCTTGTCCACCTTGACCTTCACGCCGGGCACGGGAATGCCGATCTTGTGGAGGCGCTCGATCTCGGCCTTGCGCCGCGCGGCGAGCTTCTTCTCCTGCTCCGCCTCGCTGCCGTCGTCCTCGGACACGTCCATGGAGCCGTCGCTCTCGCCGTCGGCCGTGAGTTTCTTGGGTTGCGCGTCGGAGGAGGGGTCCTCGGCGGGCAGGCGGGGTTCGGCGACGGGGTTGACGTTGTCCGCGCCGAACTGGGCCTCGAGGAACATGAGGAAGCGCTCGAGGCGTTGTTCGGGGAGGACGTTTGCGTGGGGGTTCTTGGGCAGGGGAGGGGGCGCGTGGTCGTGAGTGTGAGAGCTTGCGGAACCTTTCGGGTGATGTTAGTAATTGGTAGACAGAGGGCGAGAAAAGAAAGTGGGGGAGACGTACGTTTTACCGCGGCGGGACTACTTTCGATGGAAAAGAGGCATGACATTACGGCGTCGGCGATGCCGTCGTTGAGCATGTTGCCCTCCCACTCCAGCTCGACCTCGCCGTCGCTGCGGTAGCGTACCGCTACGCAACCCATGACGAGGTATGCTGCTACCAGACGCGCGACCTCCTCGTCTGCTTCCTCCTGCTGCTCGCCGTCTTCCATCTTGGTGTCGTCTCCGTTGCCGTTGACGGATTCCTTGTGCGCGGGGTGTCCCTTGCGCATCTCGGGAAGCTCCTCTACGCTTCCGAAGACGCCTTCCAAGCCCCAGCGGACGAGGTCAATGCCAGCAGCCGTCAGACGGAGGCGCTGCTTGCAGGTGATGGTCGTCGTGTTCAGGCCTGCATACTCGCGCAGGTCCTCGGGGGCCATCAGGGACAGCTTGAAGTCGTTTTGCACGAGGACGCCCGTGACGAGCTGTTGCTGCTCCTGCGCGGGTGTGAGGGAGGTGGGTGGGGGGATGGTGGCGAGCTTGCCGACGACCTTGGCCGTCTTGTCCTGCTTGAAGGGGATGCGGAGCTCCTCGCAGTTCTTGGGGCTGAAGACCTTGACCTTTGTCGTCTTACCGGCGTTCAGGGAGAGGAGCTTGGACTTGAGACGCATCATGTTGTGCTGCTCGCCGTGGACGAGGATGACGACGGGGGCGGCCACTTCTTCGATGAACTCGCGGTTTTCAGTGCCGTCGACGTGGGCGGCGAAGGAGTACTCGGCGACGCTGCACCGGCGAGGGAGGAAGACCTTCTCGCTCTCTCCTCCGGGGCCGCGTCGCGCGCCGGCGGTGGTTCGGCTCATGACGGCCTGGATCTGGTCGGGCTCCTGCATGATCTGCTTGGCCATGGTGCCCTCGACGCTGTAGCCGGTGATGATGACGCCGTTCTTCTCGTTGGGCGCCCACCGCTCGAGCAGCTCGCGACTGACGCCGTTCTGCAGCATACCCGGGGATGCGAGCATAACGCAGCCGCCAACGTCGTCGAAGCGATCGAGGTTCTTGAGGGAGCGGATGTACTTGAAGTCCCAGGGGCCGCCCTTGCCCGACCCGTCACCGGAAGCTTCGGCCTCGGCCATACGCTCGCGGAAGAGGCGCTTGATGTTGTCGTTCATTGCGCCGACGTAGGTTTGGTAGACCACCATACACTTCCTGGCGAGGTTTGAGGCGTAGTAGATTGGGAACTTTTGATACTCGCCATGTTTTCCCCAGTACTCGTCGAGGATGAGAAGGAGTTCCTGGGCGCGACCGAGGGCGAATACCGGCATCAGGACGCGGCCGCCACGATTGAGGATGCCGGTGATTGACTTCATCAGGGCCTGTTCGCGCTCGAGACGGGGTACGTGGGAGGCGATACCGTATGTCGATTCGGTGATGAGGACGTCAATCTTGACGCCCTTGGGAACCTCGGCGGAGACCAGATGACGATCCTGCTCGCGGGAGTAGTCTCCCGTGAAGAAGATCTTGAGGCCGGCGATCTCGATGAGGAACATTGCTGCACCGAGGACATGGCCGGCTGGGTAGGGGGTGATGCGGATGGAGGAAATTGTATGGGTAGTGTGGTAGTCGATGGCTTCGATCTGCGGGAATGTGTTGAGATGGTCTGCCTCGGTGTAGACTGGTTGTGAGGTCGGGTTTGAGGACGTGTTGCCGACGCGAACACTGTCTTGGATGAGCCATTTGTAGATTGCCTTGGTGGGATGAGTCATGAAGACGCGGCCCCTGAAGTTTGTCTTGGAGAGGACATATGGTAAGGACGCCGCGTGATCGACGTGGAAACTATTGGGCCATTAGTGTTCTGAATAGGAGTGGATGGACACTACCAGCCCCTAGAGGGCTATCACGACAACGAGGATGGCAGAGCAAGGCAGGTGGGAAAGAAGTTTGTATTATTCTGTGTACAAAAGATGATGAAATAGCATAGAGACGTAGCAAGAGGCTCCATCAGGGGCACCATCGTCATCGACGACGCTGTCCCGAGCCTGGGCATAATCCCGTATAGTTCCAAGTCGTTTCACCGCCTTGCCCTGTGATCCAACAGCATATAGGAGGGGGCGCTTACTGGCTGATCAGGAGGACGTCGACCGTACTGAGGTCAAAGTCGTCGAAGAAGGGCAGCGCCGCGAGGCCATCGTAGGCAGGATGCTGACCGGCATCAAGCTGTAGCGCATGTGAGCAATTGTCTGCAGAACGGTTGGGATAGTGCGTACCATAACCGTCTTCCCCTTGTATTGAATGATGTGGCATGACCGACCGACTTCGTTACCTCCTCCAAGGCACAGAAACATCAGCTCGTCGGAAGGATCTACTGGCTCGTCGGCAACGGTGGCCGCCATGGCCGATGCCTTGCGTTTCGCAGCCATACTAGTCAACGAAAGGCCGAGATAGCAGTCTGGCCGTCAATTCGGGGAAAGTCCACCAGTGTGTCTGGTGATTGTCACTAAACAGTTAGTTCATTCGCAATGGTTCAAGCAGTGTGCGCGATGAATCGTCGTTGACGTTTCCCCGCGACAGAGACACGGAGGCTAAGGTTGTGGAGCGCCAGAGGGAGAGAGCGACGCGCATGCGGCAGCTGTCGCGTAAAAAGTTGGCGGCCAAGGTGCCTGACGTCTAGCGATGGGTCCTGCCTGGACGCCCGGACCGCAGCGCAAAACCGGGGGAGCAGGCTGAAGCATCACGTGACTTTAAATTTACGCGGTCCTCAGATCCTTTTGGCGACAGCTCCTTCCTCCTCATATCACCCACCCATCACGACTATTGTCACCCAACTACCACAACCACAGAACACCGCGTCAACGTCAAATTCGACCTCAAGCTGCAGCGAACATATTGACCGACCCGCGCGAAGTCGAATTTTGATTATCTCGCAAGTACAGCGAACCAGCAGATGGGCAGAGTCGCGTGAGGTATCGCTAGGCTTCTCGGCCTACAGAGCTATCAGAATTACCGGAGCAGCGCCTCTGAACGACACTTCAACCTGACCAGATTTTTATCTCACTATCTCTTTTAATAACAGCAAAGATGGCGCAGCCGCAACCCCAGATGCCCCAGAGAGCGTTCTCGCCTCCCCAGCCCACTCCTTCCCCCGCCGCGACGCAACCAGGCTTTGCGCTCCCTCCTAACAAACGACCGCGACTTTCTCCTGGCGCAACACCGCAACCCGAATCTCCATACTCTACTTCGCCTTATGCCGCGAGTCCCGGCGCTCCCGTTACCCCTTCCACAGCTGCGACATCCGCAGGCTCGCCGATTTACCCCAACGCCCAGCCACAGCAGCAGGCGCAACCGCAACAACAGTCCGTTGCGAATAATTACTCCACCCCATACGCAAACGGCAACAGCACTCCCACGTTGGCCCTTCCCGAACAGCGACCGACTCCTCAACCTCAAGTTACCACGCCTCAACCTCCAGCACCGCCAACACTACCATACACCAACGCGCAATTGACTCTCGGCGCTACACCAGGCACTCCCGCCATGCAGCAACCCTCCCCTACCCCCGGCGCCATGGGTCCGCCCTCGCGTCCTCCCGACCGACCGCAGAAGGAATACGATTACGATCCTACCGATTCGCTTGCTGGAACAGGCATCGACCTTCGCGCCGAGGAACAATACCTCTCTGACCTCTATGTCCCTGATGGACAGAGAACCGGCTATGCCCCATACCCTCCGGGTAATAAAGGAAGCTTCTACGGTGCTGGCCCCGCGAACCAGCCAGCTCAGCCGGCCGGAGTAACCACACAGAATGCGCTCGTCGCGCAGGAGGTGGAAAAGGCATGGCAAGAATCTGCGAAGCGCTTGGCTACTACTAGAACTATGGAGCTGAACAACGCATTCTTGCAAATCCCCATCATCTTCCGCAAGGCAGAGAAGTTCGCGAAGGAGCAGGGACTGTCGCTCAACTTGGAGATCAAGAACAATAACCAGCCTATGGGGCGGATGCGGTTGCCCGAGGAGTTTCCCAACCCGTCTGTCACGGTCTCCACCAAGACCGGGCCCGACGCTACAATGGTAACCACGACTGGCACCTGGATACCTCAAGAGGCGTATCTGGTCGACCAGTTGGCTTTGTTGTCGCTCGCCACCAAGCAACGCCTGAGGACTCTCATGGAGGATAGCAACCGGATTGCCAAGAACCGTCAGAAGTCGTCACACGGCGAGGTCCCTGAGGAGTGGCAGACAGCAGCCGCACCCCTGAAGAGTGCCATGGAGACGCAGGAAGTCGACGCGACGCAACAGACGGGGACTGAAAACGGCTCCAGTCCTCGCCCTCAAAAGCGTCAGTTGTTGCGGGCTTCGCCGTATATATACCATGCTAACTTTCTATCCAGGTTCTCTCGAGGATGCCCACTCAAGTCAACCTAACAAGGTTCAGAAGGTCGCTGCTACAAACACCATGAGTCACACTGTGAGAGAGGTCGGTAAGGCTGAGAGAGACTGGGAGGAGAGACGGTTGCGAAGACGCAATGCCAGAAAAGACGGCACTGCGGAGGCCGGATCAACGACATCACGCGCAGGCTCAGTCGCGCCTGGAACCCCTGGGGGCTCAGCACCAGACTCGGAGAAGCAAATTTCCAAGAAAGAGCAGAAGAAACTTGACGCGGTCAAGAAGGCTGAGGCCAGCAGTCACGCCAATCAGAACATTACGAGCAGCATGTTCGTGGGTATGCCCAAAACGGGATCCCTATTTGGAAAGAAGAAAGGCGGCAAGTCATACTCGTGGATGACGGGAGGTAGCGGTGCTACTACCCCCAGACTTGGCACTCCCGGAAAGGCGGGCGGTGCAGCTGCTTCGGGCCCTCCAGCCCCGGCGAACCACGCGCTCACAGTCGAGGGTAGAGCCCGACTTGGCAATTGGCGTGAAGACAAAGAGAAGGGAAAGAACATCCAGCTCAGAGACTGGGTGGCTGCCCTTGAGGGTGATGAAGTTGAGCAGAGGGCCATGCAGACGGCATATGACAAGATGGACACGTCTGATCCAAAGTAGACATGTCCGTGAGCGCAGCAATATTTTTGGGAATTCGTTAGAGGCGTTTGCCTCTGTGTTGTATTTTTATTTAATCCTTTAGCATGGCGTTACGCACACAGCATGGTTAGGGGGCGGTCGGCTGCATACTAGCTCTCGGACGAAAAAGGCGATGCCAACCAGCTGGAGGACAACAGGAACGCGGGCGACGCAGGGCTTTACACTACTTTAATATCTCAAAGGGAGATCATCAGACATAGCCGAATACCAAGCGTTACCTGATCAACTAGTATTGAGCATAATGACGATACAATTTTGACCGAGCCTCACCGAACTTCAGTTGCTGTGGAGTAGCTGGAGATTGAACCAATGAACGTTACGCCATTTCTGACAACCTCAATACATGCATGAGAGCCAGTTACGTTATCTTATCGGCCGAATTGCCCCGCGCAAAATTCAGTTAGCAGAACATACAATCGCGGGGCATTTACGAGTGGGCTCAGTCACTCTCTCACGATACAGTTGATGATACACGGAGTTGCGCAGCGAGGCACGTCTTAATTATCACTGAATTGGAAATCCTGCAAAATAACCGAGGCTCTGGGCGGAGAGGCAACGAAGCAGAAAGTGTTGCTGTCATGGAGGAGGACCGGGCGCAAACCGACCTGGGCATCGCCGCAGACATTGAGGCGTCTCATCGCGAAGAAGCAGCCGCCGCCGCCGAGCCGGCGCTGAAGCAACCGAAGAAGCGCTTCGTAGGACGAAGGACGGCCGCCGAGGCCGCGGTGAAGAATGGTGGCGCCAACGGGTCCATCGAGGACAGCAAGTCCATCCAAGGTGCGAATCTTCACTTCCCCCTCTCTCCCAGCTCAACTCACTCATCTCACATCTCTCTGCAGTCGCCAAACCAAGACGAGGTCCACGTCTTCTGAACCAGGTGCCCCCCGAAATCCTCAACGACCCCGCGCTCAAATCCGCCATCTCCATCCTCCCCTCCAACTACAGCTTCGAGATCCCCAAGACGATCCACCGCATCCGGACGTCGGGCGCCAAGAAGGTCGCGCTCCAGATGCCCGAGGGCCTCCTCCTCTTCGCGACCACCATTTCCGACATCCTCACCGAGTTCTGCCCGGGCATCGAGACGCTCATCATGGGCGACGTCACGTACGGCGCCTGCTGCATCGACGACTACACGGCGCGCGCCCTCGGCTGCGACCTGCTCGTGCACTACGCCCACAGCTGCCTCATCCCCGTCGACGTGACCAAGATCAAGACGCTCTACGTCTTCGTCGACATCAGCATCGACACCTCGCACCTGCTCGCCTCCCTCGAGCGCAACTTCGCCTCCGGCAAGACCATCGCCGTCGTCGGCACCATCCAGTTCAACGCCACCATCCACGGCGTCCGCGGCACCCTCGAGAAGGCCGGCTTCCGCGTCCTCGTCCCGCAGATCGCGCCCCTCAGCAAGGGCGAGATCCTCGGCTGCACCTCCCCGCGCCTCGACTCCGACGACCCGGACAACAAGGTCGACCTCATCCTCTACCTCGGCGACGGCCGCTTCCACCTCGAGAGCATCATGATCCACAACCCGCAGATCCCCGCGTACCGCTACGACCCGTACTCGCGCAAGTTGACGCGCGAGACGTACGGCCACGACGAGATGCAGGACCTGCGCCGCACCGCGATCCGCACCGCCAAGACGGCCCGGAAGTGGGGCCTGATCCTCGGGTCGCTCGGCCGCCAGGGCAACCCGAACACGATGGCGCTGATCGAGAAGAGGCTCAAGGAGCGCGGGATCCCGTGGGTGAATTTGCTGCTCAGCGAGATCTTCCCCGGCAAGCTGGCCATGATGGCGGACGTCGAGTGCTGGGTGCAGGTGGCGTGTCCGCGGCTGAGTATCGACTGGGGTTATGCGTTTCCGAGGCCGTTACTGACGCCGTACGAGGCGCTGGTTGCGCTCGAGGTGCGGGATGACTGGGGCAAGGGCGTCTATCCCATGGACTACTACGGCAAGGAGGGTCTGGGACGGGTGAAGCCTGCGCCATTGGAAGTCAAAAGCTGACAGGTTGTATTGGGTTTATATGGACATCAAAAGTTATGAAATATATGGGAGCGCAAAATGATACCTTTTTTCTGGCACACACACTAAATCTTTCAAACGTATTACCGATGGAATTTTGATATTGAGAAGAAAAGGTCAAGTCACCATATAGGAAGGAGTTTGATCATCAGAAATCACACATCTACTGGACGAAGGGCATGCGTCATTTGTCCCATTAAATATTCAACAACTAGGCTAATTAAGACTGCAACTGGTATCATTAATATCATTTGTTTCACCGTCACTCCTTTCCCACTTCTTCTCGCCTTCTATACAGAGACGGTCGAGTTGATGCTGAAGCGGTAGCTAGCCTGAAGGACGTACGGGTCACCACCGGGCTCAAAGATTTGCTTCTTGCCGCGGCCCCAGGAAGGGTTGTTGATGCCGTCAATCCAGTCCTGGACCTCGAGGACAAGGCATCCGTACTTGGGAATGATGCGGGGGAAGTCCTTGTTGTCGAAGAGACCCTGGGTCTTCTTCAGGGCCATGGAGCCGTCCTGCTGGTTGCAGCTGTACATCTGGAAGGCATCCTGGTCGGTGTAGACGTCGAGCTGAATGCCGGACCAGGCGGACTGGAGGCGGGCAACGTAGCCCTCGTTGCGCCAGTTGTAAGAGCCGAGGTCGTTGCGGTTGACGATCCAGCAGTTGTCTATCGAGGTTAGCTTGTTGAACGGTGCACAGAGGGGCAATATGACTCACCATAGCCAGTGCAGTTGAAGCCGCAGTTGTTCTCGAGCTCTTTCTTGCCGAGGTCAGCGCCAATCTGCTTCGGCGCGCTCCAGAAGTCATTGACGGAGCCCTTCTCGTTGGCGAGGATCTCTCCGGTGGGGATGAGGATGTTGTCAACAGCAACTCTCTGGCCGTTGTAGGGCATGTGGAGAGTGTGGTTGAGGGCCGTGCTGGTCTCATTGTTGGCAAAGCCGTCGAGGTTCCAGTAGGTGTGGCTGCTGAGCATGATGGGAGTCTTCTTGGTGGTCGGAACGGCAATCATCTTGAAGTCCCAGTTCCAGTCATTCACCGTGTAGGTGATGAGCGACACGACCTCGCCGGGGAAGCCCTCCTTTCCGTCAGGATCGGTGAAGGAGAAGGTGATGCTGCTGTTGGTGTGGGACACAACAGTGAAGTTGCGCCAATCCCAGCCGTCAGAGCCACCGTGCAGAGTGTCGAGGCCATTGTTGTCGTTGGCGTCAATCTTGAACTTCTCGCCGTCAATCTCAAAGGTGGAGTTCTTGATGCGGTTCGCGTAACGGCCAGGAACACCGCCAAAGTGAGGGTGCTGGGTATCAATGCTGTAGTAGCTTGCATTGTCGAAGCCGCCGACAATGTCGCGGGGGACACCGTACTTGTCATTGATGAGCAAGTTTGAGATGGAGGCGCCGTACGGGATGAAGGCGGCCTTGATGTGGTCGCTGAAGATCCAGTACTTGCCGTCCTCGTCGGGGCTCGTCTTCACGGTGGAAGTGTTTCCTCCAGGCGAGCCAACAAACTGGGCAGTCGCTGCCGGGAGGAGCAGGGCAGCTCCGGCTGCGGCAGAGAGGAGAGACGAGCGCATCGTGGAGGTGTTTGCGGTGGTGGTGGGAGACCAGAGAAGGAAGCAAAGGACTGCAGCGCAAAACACCGTGGACCAGAACAGACGACGATGGTGGCGGGAGGGCGGGCGACAAGGTCTGAGTGAGGGGAAGATGGGGTGAAGACGAAGCTTATATCCCAAAGCACCCGTCCCCGTCCCCTCTCCTTCCCCCATGGGGGAGGAGGCGCGTGGAGACTTGCGCATGGCAAGAGAGGTGGGACGATGGGACGACTGGATCAGCCGGACCTTGGCCTTGCCCTCGCTCAATGGCAACACAGACAGGACTGCGGAGTGCAGAGAACCAGCTCCACTCGGTTGGGGTTTTGCCAATTGGGTATCGGGAAGAAGCAAACAGCGAGAAGCGGAAGTAGCAAGGGTCGATCAATGGTCTGGTTGTGACGGCATGATGTGACTGGAGCGTCTAGACGAACATGTGGTGGAATCCTTTCGCTTGACCGGTCTAGGTCCAGGGCCAGCCTGGATGGGCAGACAAACAACGCCAGAAACAAGCTCGAGGCGGGTGGGCGAGCTCGGAGCTAAGGCAGGCCAGGCGTAGCGTGCGAAGCTCTCGTACCTTGGCCTGCTTTGTCAATGGAACGTAATGTTGTTGGTCGAACCGAGATGTAGGACGCCGGGATTAGGGAGGAAGCGTGTGCGGAGCAGGTGTTCTGCTGCAGCATGGAAAGCGAGAGAGAGAGAGAGCGAATGCAGTTGCTGTTGCGGTGCAGGGCAGGGAGCCAGCTCCGAGGCAGGGCAAGGCTAGTCAGGTTCGATGAGGAGAAGAGGCACACAGCAAAGGCCCGATGACACCCTCTCCAATGGGACTCGGAGATGAAGCGGGGGATCCAATTGGCGTGGCTGGATGGTGGGATGGCCGGCTGGCTGTTCAGGAACGCACGGCGGGACCAGATCGAAAGGCCTTTGGGAGTCTGGGACCCTCAGGGTTGGTTGAGCTCGCAGTCCAACAAGAAGAAGAACAATGGATGGCGGGTGAAGCTCGACTGCCAAGTCCGGGGATTAGGCGGGTTGGAGGCAATGACGACGTTGAAGGAGCGGAGATGCCAGGGGACAGAATTGGGGAACAGAGGAGGCAAGGAAACATGTCGTCAGAAGCCGCTGTTGCGGGACATGATTGGTGCGCCTCTCGTCGTGTTTACCGTCGGCAGGCCCCACAGGTCAGCACTTACAGGGGCTTGTGCCGCTGGAAGGGTGCTGTGCCGCAGTGCCGCAGTCCCTCCAGGCGTAGGTAGGCTGTCTTTGAGCGGTGTTGCTGCTGTTAGCCGGGGAAATTGGCACCAACGGGTGCGGGGTTTTAGTGTGCTTCCCCAGATGTTTCTTCCCTGTTCCCCCGCTCTGCTTCTGCGCCACTTGGTTTTTTCGACGTCTGCTCTTTGCGGTCCCCGAGGTCAAGCTTTTTTTTCTGGCCGACGCTGCACCAACACGTTACCGGATGCGACGACGGCCTGCTTGTCTGGGTCACCTGGTGATGCCTGAAGATGAGGGTGAGAGGTGAGGCATCTCTGCGTATCTCACTGCAAAGTGAAGCGGAACCATATGGTATCAAAGAGACCGCCGGGTTTTCCTGTGTCTGGGCGGCTATATCTTCTGCGTACTTGGTGACTATAATGAGGACGATGGCCGACGTCAACAGCAACGGCAACAACAATGGCAACAATGATGATAGCAGCGACGATAGTAGCGAGGACGATGACGGTAAGGTGTAGTATAGCCACAGCAGAAATAGGCATTCTCGTGGTATCAAAACACCCATGGTCAGTGTGTGCGTAAAGCAAAGTCAATTGGGCAGTTAAAACGAGTGTTATGGAATGCAATTTTGAGATAGCCACGGCCTCCCAGCAAGACTTCAAACTCGAGTCAATCTCCCCCATTAACCATGAAAACCGTCTGAAGAATCCTCCGCTCCCTCCTATTTGAAGCCCCTGCAGCCCTGTCCATGTTAGATCCCATGTCTCGATCTGGTGGCTTGAGGGTAGTTTCGATGCGTACCAATCACAAGTTTTCCCGTAAGACTTCACATGTTCCTTGTGAACACGGCGCTACCCCGGTTTGATACGCATAATCCATCCCATATTTCAGTTTGAGCAACTCTCCCTCTGTTGCTTCACATCTTCGTCTTTCGCAGAGAGCCAGACGGACCGTTCCTAGGAAACGCAAAGGTTTGTTTGGTCCCATCAGAGGCATATTGCCCACCTACGCGTCGTCTTGCGCATTGTTCTGCGCATCGTTCTGCGTTGGCATCCTAAAGAGATTCTAAATCCACCGCGGCAACACGCGTAGGGTGCCTTCGGGAACGGCCCCGCACACGCGGTAGAGACAGATGGCATCGGTGAAATGTCGGTCGGTGGAATTGGACAAGACACTAACCTTTTCCATTCCGGTAGTAAGCTGCTCCAGGCTTTCCTTGATGAGTTCTGGTGTCCGCACGGGGATATCCGGCAAACTCTGGATTTTCTGACGAAGCTGCGCCCACTCGTTTGGGCTGGCCCGGATCTGCAGGATGGGCATGCCCTCGAGAGTCCAGACTCGGCGACGACGCGAAAAGCGTTCGTGACGCGAAGAGAGTTCAACCTCGCGCTTCCGTTCGTTGAATCTTCGCACTGTAAAACCCTTAAGGGTCTGAATGATGTCCTTGTGGATCTTAAGCCACTGATACCGGTTCGCCTTCACCTGATCGCCGAATGATATACTGTAGTAATTAAGAAACCGAGTTATTTCGTGCGGCTCCGCCCGCTCTATCTCAGCTCTGGCATTGTCCGAGAGCCGCTCAGGTTGAACATGAAAGGGAACTAACGCTGGGATCCAGGAATCTACCCCGAGAATTGATCCGGGGATGAACTCATCTTCTGCTTCCACGTATCGGATAGTCAGACAACCCCGTCTCGTACCGTCGTCTTGGCGCTTCCCTTTGAAGGATAGGTGTACGAATACTCTTGAGGTGGGTGGTCCAGACGACATATTGGGCTTCCAGCTGCAGTGTGCAGACGACTGTGTTGGTGGGGTGGTGTTGCCGAAGTGATGTTGACGAGATGATGTTAACGAGATGACGTTGAAGCAAAAGTTGTTGGCCAAGGATCCTTGTTGTCGGGACGGGCGACCTCAGAACTTTTATCCAAGGAAGCGTATGGGCGGCGGATGTTCTTGCCTTTGTGGAGATTCTACAGTATTTGCCCACTCGCACCTGCCTGCCCTAGGAGTGCTCAGAAATCTGCAGTAACCCTCGATATTCTGGATCGTACCTGCTTCATTACAACCAGGTGCTTCGATTCCATCACGATGACATCCACTGGTACAAGGGCAACCAAAAATCACATGTCCCTGATGAAGAATTTGCGCATTCAGAGAAGATGAAACTTTGATTTACTTGGATAGC